ATAACTCAGAAATGTCGGTTCTTCATTTTTCAGTGTTGACTTTTAAATTTCGCCAATAAATTGTTGTGTAGTCGTTTATTTCCTACCATAAAATACTTTACAGGGTCAAGGGTGATTGGCTGGAGACAGCGGTCATAGGTTGAGCGGAGGTTTCTGTTACGTGTGGACATGGTGGAAACAGGCAGGACCCCAATGCGATACCAGGGAGACTTTCATGATCTTGCATGTTTTTTGATTGGGCGAAGGATGTCTGCGGAGAAAGTCCACACACATACATGAAACTGGTAAAACACTGGCAGCTTCTGCCACTGGGTGACCCAACATTTTTGTTTTTCCAGGAAAATCCAGCTCTGAGCACAGGCGATGGATGTGATAGAAAAACAAAAACAAAAAGCTGTAATTTGTCCAAGGTGAGGTTTATATGAAATATGAAATGATGAAAAAATATCCAAAAGCTTTCAAGAACGTCAACCAAAACTGCTGTATTATATGAAATACAAAAAGTTGATTTTAATCGATGCATCCCACCTTCTGTCTCCTCCACGGTAAAAACCACCCTCCAACACACAGTCGTCAGTCGTCAGTCGTCAGCATACCACACGATGACTCGTTATGACACAGGTCTGTCATTTGCTAACATCTACCTGTTGGCAGATCGCTTTGCCACCATGACGTAACTGTTACCCTCACTGTTGCCCGACAGACAGGGAGGAGAGTTAGTTCACAGCAGGATCAGTGCTGCATCTTGTCTGTGGGTCTGTGTGTGTTATATCTGCGTATACCATCGGAGTAATTGTCCTCACACGATGTCAGATTTGTCCAAAGCCACTGAGTAGTAAAGCAATTATATATACAGCCATAAAGCGGCATAGTTTAAAGTTTATTACATTACTACAGTGTAAATATAGTGGATTGTGATGGTTTGTCTAGACCACACAGCTCTCCAGCCTCTGGTGAAGACCTCAGTCGTGCCATTGTGGGGCTCACCCCTCTACTGTGTGTGTGTTTTTGTTTGTGTGTGAGTGTGTGCTTGTGTAAGAGACTGATTCATGCACAACTGTTCAAAACCTGACCTGGAATCCTTGCTTACTCACTTGTTGTGTGTGGGAAGACCAGCATTACTCAACACGACAAACACTCAGACACTTCATTTAAAGCCTCAATATTTTTTTTCCACACATTTTTCACAAGAATTAAAAAAAAAAAAAAACATTATTTTTCTAATTCTTCTCATTTCCCATTGTCAAAGTGAAACCTTTTAAAACACAGAAATCATGACCCGTAGCTGAGGCTTTCTGTGCCGTTGACTTAGGTAAACCTATTTCCCAGAATGCTGCTGACCTCTGAGTTCACCGGAACTGACTCAGAAAGGCTTGGACAGTAAAAAATACCCTCTAAATCTGGTACTCCCCCATTTGAACCACACTGTTCAGCTGTTAAGTACTTCATGAGGCGTGACTTGCGTCTTTGCCAGTGAGTGTTTCGGCTTCGTTTGTTCACAGAGCGGCCGTTTAACTCTCCAGATCTTTATTTTGATCATTTATGTCTTCATTACTCTTAGATACGTTAACAAGAGATAATGATAATCTTAACAGTGTTTCACCATTGCAAATCAAGATATCTCTCAAGTATGTGCTCTTAAGAGAATACAAATTCTCTCTGGTATGCAGTTGAGAGCAAGCCATAAAGAGGAAAGACTGAAACTTGACAGATTAGAGTCGTATTACCAGCAAAAGTGTCTAGAATCTTTCTTACCTCTTAAATCTACTTGAAAAACTTTTATTATGATTATTAACAGCTAGAAAATTATATCATCCAGCGTCTGCCTTTATTAAATTGAAGACATTTGGTTGTGAGTTTCCAGGGAATATTTTGCATCAGTTCATTCTGTAGGAAAGTAGATTAGATTTTCCTTTTAAAAATGAAAATAAAACAACGTGAGTGAGTAATACCATCCACCTGCAGCAACTTTCACTTTTGGAAAGTACTGTTAAATGAATAATTGGATGTGTCATCCCGACAGATTTGATTTTGTTTCAATGCTGGAAGAATATTTTCCTCTGCTTCCTCACTGTCACAAGACTCTTGCCATTTTACTGAGACTTGGTAAGGATTGGTAGGTCCTCCATAGGAATGTTTGCCAGAACTTAAACCAAACTACAAATGAAGCAGGAGAACGGTGATACGTGTACGTCAATGTGCAAGTGTGTAATAATGAAAAATTGTTATCACATGTAACTCTGTAAAACATACCCACTGGGACCCCCACATTCTCCCACCTCAGATGTCTGCAGTACCACATCTGAGCTGAAAATTAAACATTTAAATCCCGCCTTCCTGTCAGAGGCTGAGAGATCGCTCTAAACTCTGTAAGTGACCTGAACGTGAAAGGAAAAACAGGCAGACGAATTTATTCAGCAGATGTCTGCAAATGAATTTAATATTACGCAGACGGGTTCAGGTTCAAGGTTCAAGTGCGAAGCATTTTAATACATTGCATGTTTTTTTCCAGCGGACCAGTTCTAGACATCCCAGTTCTAGTTTTACTTTCACAGCGATTGTTTACAACACCATGTGTAACAGCACTTTCTTCTCTGTTTTTTGTTTTGCTTTCTTTTGTCTGCATGTGGTCGGCGTTGAATGTTATCTGCAGGTGACAGCTGGCAGCGAGGCGGCGCAGGTCGACCTGTGTCCAGGCGACATCATCCTTGCCATTAACGGCTGCAGGACGGAGCACTTGACTCACAGCGAGGCTCTGAACCTGATCAAAAGATGCACTCACAATCTCAGCCTCAGCATCAGCAGGTAACGAAACACAAGATGGTTTTTGAATTTGTGTCTGTATTTTATAATATGTAAACAATGGCGTGTTTCTAATTCTGAGTCTCTTTACATGAATTAATAGACAATTTAAACATTTGGTTATGGAATAAATGACAAAAATGAGAAGTGAGACCAAACTAGTTTACTTTTCCCCCTTTAATAATGACAGGGTTATCAAAAACCCATTCTCTTACGTTGAACCTCTTAGTGAGATTTGTTGTCGTTCTCACTAATCATTATTAATAGAATTGGGCTTTAATATCTTGACTGAACTTCACGGCCAAGGTATTTTACCGCCTTCTTCAGGGGAACACACATTGTTTCTGTTTCCAGTTTGACTTGGCACAGTGGAGTCAACGGGACAGATGACAACTTTACGATATATGAAATGATTAACTCATGGACCCTATGGAGAGCTGTCAAACTCAATAGTCCTTGTGCTAACTCTGATCCAGACAGTGAGCGTTGCAAATGCACTCCACTCAATATTGTTCATTTTTATCACTTCACGTGGCAGAAAATAATTTTGTACTTCTCAGAACCATGCTTTATTTTTAGATCTGGAATGGATTTCTTTTGGAGACAGGAGCACAGAGTTCCTGTCAACGTTACACGCCGAATGGAAATCATCCTTCTGAACACTTAATGACAGAGACGGGAGGAGCAGGGCGGGGGGATGACCAAGGAAAAACTGAAATGTCATTTGCTTCCCACATTTATATGAGATGGTTACTTTGGGTTGCCAGAGCACTGGAAAGAGCAAAAGCAAAATCTGGCAACGGCTTGAACACCAGCTTTTCACTGTGGTTTCAGCCTCATGTTTCAAGTGACAACCAGAAAACTTTAGCTCTCCTTTTAGGGCGATGGACAAATGCGGCCATTTTACTGCAATAATGGTTTGGAACATGAACGTGACCTGAGGATGGAGAGGAAACAAAAAAAAAAAAGAAAAATCCTCCCACAGTTCTCAGATCTGTTGGGAAAAATAAAACAAAGACGCAACCAAATCCACACATGCATACGCTTTAGAATCTCTGTGTGTGTTGCTGACTGCGGCACACCTCCGCCCTCGCCCCTTCACCTCCCCCACTCCCTCTACCTTAGTAGCGGAACCTCTCCGTTCATATATCAAGCTGAGTGACGGAGCGTTCAGCGGTTCGTCCACATAGGAACACCGAATTTATTTAAGGATACATGAAGTAGTATTTAGTGTAAAGAGTATTGGAGCTCCTCTGCAGCTGCAGCAGCAGCACAGACAGGACACTCCCACATGTGAACCCTGTTTCCAAGTTCAGCCCAGATCTTCTCCTACAGACAGCTAAACACAGGAGGGAAGATTTAGGCAGATGTTTTGTTAAAACATGACTCTGTTAAATATCAGGCCAAGAAATATGACTATTTTCTTTTTTCAACTTTTACCTCACTTGAACTTTATCACATTTAGCACTTGGCCCATTTGAAATCTAGTAATTCACTATGTAGATCGGGGTGAAGGGGGGTGTAATGGTTATAGATAATGATGATTTAAGTAATAAACATTGAGACATTAGTGGATTCATGAGGTCAGCTCAGAGCTGACCTTGAAAGACTACTGTAAGCTGCCACAGAATTTGGTCATTTTTTAAATTGTAAAAACTAAATGAATAAGAAAGAAAGTAGGGGAGATCTGGAGTTATTCAGGGAACGCTGGATCCATTGTGGGACAGTATATAGCAGTGTTTCCCAAACTTTGAAAAAAAAAAGTCACAGACCTTCGCAATCCATGTCAATAGACATTATTCGTAAACTCCCAGGAAACATGATGTGAGACGACCCAAAAAAAACCAAACTCTTGCGACCCACCTGATAGTCACAACCCAGTCTTTGGGAAACAATGGTATATAGAGACAAACCAAATTCATACTCACTTTCATATCTGAGGTCAGCTCAGTGGGTCCTTTTACACTGATAGCATGTTTTTTTTCCAACCAGAGAACAACAAGCACACACAGGGAGAGCAGGCAGATTTCCCACAAAAAGAACTGCTCTTCTTCCTGTAAGGTGAAGGCAGCGTCCACTTCCAAATCTGACACTAACGTAGAGTCACATCACTAACCTTAGGTCTGCAAAAAAACAACTTCTAAATTAAAACCATTCATCCTGCTCATAACTGCTAGATTTAGGACTCCGCTCTCACTGGGCAGGGCCAGCTGCTGGTATGTGACCTTCCTTCAGTGATATGGGTTAAAAACAATCCCTGGTGCCCTGCTGATGGGCTGCAGGAAGGCATGTGTGGTCTCAGAACTGGACAAATAGCTTTGGCCTAGGAGGATAGAACTCAAACTAACTGGTGCTGGAAAAGAGCAAAGTAGGAGTAAAGACATTTTTGATTTAGCGGCAGAAAGATGTGAAAGTGGAAAAATGAAGGAATAACAGAAAGTAGGGCAGAGAATGGAGGAAACTGAAGAAACGATAAATCAGAGACGAAGTGAGAAACCCACATGGGCCTGTCTTTGCTCAGAATGCAGTTTTACAGCCAATAGTTCCTGCTTCATGTATGGTTAGATATTCATAAAACAGTCAACCTCAGTGCTCACTTTGACGGAGAACTTCAGTCACATTTTTAAAATGGATTGATTTAATATCTCCCTTACTATACGTTTGCTCTGTGTCTCATGTCAAACTTCAGTTTGGTTAATTATTTACTGACATTCACTGTTCTACATTGGCATGCGCTGGCCTTTTTTCCCCATCAAAGGCCTATACAGGAAGCCATGTGGAAATAAACAGCAACCGTCGCCAGGATTGAGCCGATAAACAAAAACATCTATAAAAGCGTGAGAAGGTCAGCTTCTGGCAACACCAAAAACACCCAACGAATATCTCACACGCCATCAAATTGGTAAACAAATAAAACATTTTAAAACTATGAATAAGTTCTTTGAGAAATTTGATGAAGCGTGAAGGAACAGCAGCGAAGGAGCTGGTCGGGGAGCCGGCCCCTGGGTGTTAATCACTCAGACAATGAGGTTGTGACATTTAAACGGAAAAGAAAAGTAGTAATTATAGTCATTTTCTTTAAAAGGATTTGGATCATGGGATTTGCACTTTATTGGAAACACTCCTCAGCTGTGGGCTGTGGCAATAGCTGATAATTAGTCAATTACAGCCATTGATTTTGGGGAGTAAGAAAAATGAAGGAGTGACTCCGGGAGCATGTGCTGACTCAGTCGAAAATAATATTTCTGAGGACACCAGTTCTCAGCCTTCATTAGATGTCGCTGCCATAAAACACTTCAAACAGTCACATGGCCATAGATGGAGCCGGAGAGACCTGTAATTTTCTGTTGCTGCCGATGGACAAATATATGAGTCTACACGTCTGCTGTGAACCAAAATTACAGTACACGGGATACGTCCGCACTCAAGGCCTTATGTAATGAAAGAATGTTTCTGTGTAGGTTCTTTGCATTTACTGCTTTCATAACCTCCTGTATTTTCATATTTCATATTGCACAGCGTTTTAAGAGCTCTCTGCTCCGCACTGGCAACACAGTCGCTTTGCTGGTATTGGAATCCTTGCATCCTCCTTTATGCGTTCTGGTCGGTTTTACTGTTTCCTGGGAAGATTTAATCTTTCCAGAATTGATGAACGAGAGATAGTAATGTAAAAGGTGGAATGTGTAGTTTTTTGTAAATAATGAACGATTGATCGTTGAACAAAGTAATTAAAATTCAAACTTAAAGTTAAAGCCATATAGTCATTTTAATTAGCCACAAAACGTGTCTTTTTTTCCTTTTGTTCATCTACAAGGGGCGCTGTAGACTACAGCAACAGTAATATTTAGGCCAGAACAGACTGTGCTGGAGTTGGATCGGCTCACTATGCCGATGATGTTGTGGCTCTCATCAGTTATCATTTCATTTCTTTAGGTTTTTACTGATGAAGATTTGCCCACCACCTCAGGGGTTTTACTGACCACAGGATTCTATGGCCATGCTCTTTGCAGATGATTTCACACTATGAGGCCATTAGTTACACTGGTTTATGTGCAGTATTACTTGCAACATCTTGCATCCTCCTTTATGCGTTCTGGTCTGTACTAGCCTGTCTTTGCACATTACACAAGATCAGGTCAAGTGGGGTCAACTCTGGTCTTCATTGATGTAATGAAAACCTGTTTCCGTGGAGCCATAAAGCAACCTTCTTTGTGGGCCTGTAGCCCAGTCTTTTCCATTCACTGATAGGATTTTCTTGGATGAGCAACTGTTCAAATCTGTAGGTCACACATGGAATGTAGGGACTTCCCTCTGCACGGTGGTTTATCCCCCTCCCCTGTTTTATCAGTGGGTCCTGTATTGTCTAAAGCTAACGTGTCAGTTCAGTGATCCTGCCAATGAACTTTGGCGTAAGTGACCAGAAAGATCGGGTTTGACTTCTGGTTATGTTGAGGTTTTAATCAGTCTGGCATTAAGAAAGTCTCGTATTAGGTGCTGGCCAATGTCTGACATTTTAAATATACTGAGAAAACCCGACTGGGTCTCTGCACAGGTCAACAAATGCATGATAGGTTGAGGTGATCAGAAACAGACTACTGGAACAGGTGCTGACTAGATTGATTTCTGTGTTTCAGTACTTCATTGGTTAAAGAATGACACGGTAATTACGATGATGAGTTATTGTGAGGCCGTTTACCTTAACACAATTTTCCATTTTCCATCAGGCTCTCTCATACCGCAGGGCCTGTCAGCACTCCACTCCGAGTCAAAGCACTCATTTTGGTCCTGGCATTGGTGATCAGATGGCGCTGTGTCATTTCTTTGGAATAGTAAATGACAGCCACTGCTGCCTCCAACACTGTAGTTCAGTTAAAGTTCAATGCAATGTCATCACATCTGGACACACACACTGAGGTCACTTTAAAGTATGTCACGTTCGCTTTCCACGGCCTGTATATTTGACAGGAGGAATACACCAGGCAGCTGTGAAATATTCTCTTGCTTCTTTTTTTCCTTCTCATTCTTCTTCTCAACTATTTCTCATACTTTATCTTTTTCGTCTCTCTGACCTTCGAGTGCCATTTCACCATATCCCTCTCCAAACCCAAATCCCACTTCACGTATCCAGCTATTGATTCTCATTCATCTTTTTCTCTTTCCATTTCTTTCACCCTGACCTCACCTCCCAGCAGTTTCTCCGCTGACTGCCAGCAACTCTTGAAGAAAAGCATGTGGTTGCGCAGGCCCAAGAAACAGATGAGGGCGGTTTGTGATGTTTGTTTCCACTGCTGGTCAAGATGTCCGGAAAGAATCATGCTGGGTGGCAGGTTAAATGTGCCGAGAAATGAGTCACAGAGCATCAGTTGCGTGTCTCGATCTTTTATTCTGAAAGTTTAATGTGGAAATTGGGACACCCTGCTGTTCTTGTTTCAGTTTCACTTAACGTAGAGAAGAAAAAAATTTACAGCTCCATCCTGGGTGGAAAGAATCTTGACAAACAGATGGTTCCAAATTGAATGGATCAGTTCCAGATTACACAAGACGGAATCTAAACATATCAAAATGACCAGGTTTCTAACATCTAATACTATAGGGGTTTAAATGGACCTGGAATTGTTTGGATCTTGGATCAACTGACAAAGCATTTACTACGGTTGCAGAGCTTCTCCTTCATGTATAAGAAATACTAAAAACTATTCAAAGCCGTTACAACAATAGCCACTGGACTCTCTTAGTTTCTTGAAGACGTTCCACCTCTCATCCAAGAGGTTCTTCAGTTCAGGGTAAAACTATGTCGAACACAGCAGGATAAGAGATTCAGGAGAACTGAGAGACACCAGGCGGAGGAATGTCACAGGGTCAGACGACGCTGGTGTAGGATTTTCCTTCTTCTGTCTTCCTTTGACTCCAGGACCAGTGACTCACGGCTGAGGAATTATGCACGAGGCTGCATGTGACCGACTGAACACAAGGCCTCAGCTGGGACACAGAGAAACGCTATAGGAACCCGACTGACGCACATGCCTCTCAGTTTCCAGCACCGCCGCTTGTTTCACTCCTTCATCCCTTCATATCACCATTCCTTGCACACTCTCCTCAGATCCCTTTTTTGTGGCAATCACAAAGGCAGCATCAATGAGCTTTAAGAGTCTGTGAAGCACAAATGGGAGGGGGGAGGGAGGAAACCACGACCCTCTCTCACTGTGTTTTTCTCAGACATCGATCCTGTCATCAGCCAGATGCAGATTTTTCCAATTGCCTGCCCTCAGGTTGAGACCTCGATAATTGCTCTTCAAACACTCTGTCTCGTCCCTCTATTTGTGGTGTCGGGAGCATTTATTTTTTTCCCTCTTCTAAAACTACTAAATAACAGAGGAGAAGCTCCGTTGGTGTCTGATGTAAGTCAGGGGCTTCGGATGGAAGTGAGGCAAGACTTCTCTGTAAACCCTGAAACTCCTCATGATCAGATGTGTCTTAATCTGGGAACGTCTGCTGTCTGCCCTTTCTTTTCTTTTTTTTTTGCTTCTACTTGTTGACGCCATTGAGCCAAAGTAAACTCGTCCACTAGTCCAAAAAATCCAGATCTCTCCAATCAGGAAATTAAACCTGGCAGGAGAAGGTCAGCTGGGGGAAAATGTGACCGAAGGAAAGATCAGGAAAGTAGTAGAGCTCAACTAAAAATGTCTGTCCCTGTCTCAGAATGTGGGGTCCCTTTGGTTCCTATCATGCATTTACTTTGTTTATTTTGTAATGAATATATTATGAACAGTCCTGCATTCGAGTTCCTTTTCTTTCTATAACTCTGTTATTGCCCTTGTGGTGCAGTTCTGCGGTTTATAAGTGTTTTATAAACAGGACTTATCAAACCATCACTGGCTTTTTTCGGGGATATTAGAAATTAGCTACCCTTCCATCCATCTCTTTAATCTGTCCTGGTCTGGATTTAATCTTGGTTGACAATGATGTATACAGTTCGGAGCAGAAGGGGAACTGCTGGTCGGGAATCAAAGCCAATACTGTAGGAATGCGGTTAGGAGAACTCACCCACATCCAATTAATCATTGTGAATTTCTTTTAGGAAAAACAGTGCGCTGTGAAGATCGGTCTTCACGGAGCGCTCTCCGGCCTCAGAGGGGGGTCTGAGTGAGGAGGATAAAGTTTCTCAGACTGCAGCTTAGATTTTAATAACTTGTTTCCTACGGCCCTGCAGGTCGGCTCTTTAAAGGTTTTTATAGTTGTGCTGATGAAGAACTGGGGAATGTGAAGCACTTCTTCTCTATCATAATCAGCCCTGAGGTTTGCTCTTGATATTTAGTTTTTTTTCTATTCAAAAGTTTCTTTTTCTCTTACATCTCCAATGTTTTCACTCAACACCTGCTCCAAATTGTTTTAGATTGTTAATACATCTCTGGTCAACCTAACCTGCTGTATAACTTCATTCTAATATACTTTTTTGGATTGTGAAAGATCACCTCACAGACCTGTGTGTTGCCTCACACTCAGTCCAGTGTAGAGGTTAAAAATGTGAACTACATTATATCTGAGAACACGTCCATTGCTCAATATCTAAAGTGTGAGTTTACATGCAGTTCATGAGCATGAAACTCAATCACTCCAAAAATGCACAAAAATGCCAGTCTCTATTTTGGGGGAATGGAATGACTTGTGGCAGAGAGGTCTTTTCTTCAAATGACTTTCAATGTGAGTAATGCCTCAAACCCCGAGTCTCTTGTGTTTCTAATAATATCTCCGCTATGATAGATACGTAAGTTCCAACTTCGTGTCCAGAGAATCGGAAATGTCAGTTCAGAGAGGCCACTTCAGGCTGAACTTTTGAGTGCTTCAGTGGGCCGTTTGTGTCGTAACCATCGAAACCAAACAGTCTGAAAACATTCTGTCGCAGCAGCACCAGAACATGGCAAACAGAGCGGAGGGGCAGTGCAGTGGTCATTCAGCACAGTGCATTTATTTGTTAGCCTGACACTCTCTCTCCGCCTCATAACAGCATCTTTGATAGCAACACCTCCATGTTTCATATCTGAAGCATTGCCTCAGCTCGGCCCACGCTGCGCCAGCTGCAGCCTGATAACAACACGGACGCCCCTACATCACACACACACACACACACACACACAGACACATACTGTACTTAAGTTACTATGAGCAGCATACTGTCATCTACATAGTTGGCCATTCGATGCATCAATAAGCAGCCTGATGTCAAGACAACAGAAAGACTGCTCTCAGAAGATTTGTCGTCAGGACTTCACACCCTCAAAGAAGACGGTAGAAATAATAAAACAATCCATAAATCCGCTGTGATTTGTTTCAAAACACTGAGTTCTCTGAACGCTGTCAGATGTTTGGAAATGATGTGTGGTTCCTCGGCCAGGGGCACGCAGCAGGCCCGTTTTATCGTTCCAGGCCATTGTGAAGATTTTTTTTTTGCCAATTAACGGGGAACTGGAGTCAATTTGTGGGCACTCAAATAGCTAGCTATCACCAGCTCTGGTCTTTAAATGTCAACAGACCTAGTTGGGCTGAGCACAGATGATCTTTGAGAGTGCAGTGCTCACTGTAGCACTCTGGTGTCTGCCTGACAAAAGGACACCTGGAAACCTGCCTACTTTGTTAGGGTGGTCCCCCCAGTACATGAAGGGATGTCCGATGACATCAGCATTCACATACAGGCCAACTGTGACCAACAGGTTGACTGTGATAAGGTCAGGCAGGAGTTTCTACGGATCATCATGTTTGCAGATGACACTGGTGTGTTTAGGAGGTAGAGTCCATTCAAAACCAAAAGAGTACAAGTCTTAGGAACTAGGCTGTGGTGAACAGCCAGTTACAGAGTATCAGGTTGCTGGATCAGCACATTTCCCATAATATTTGAATGAAGTATCGACCCCAATATCGATACTGATTGTAGTATTTGGACATAGTATTTATGAATCTGGGTCTCACTTGGTTGCAAAACACCAGCTAAAAATTATTCCAAAATGCTCTTTTGTAACAATATCCCAGTTCGTACCCAGGTCTGATCAGGAGTATTTGCTGTAGTCTGTTACTGAGGGAGGATAGTATTACTGAATCTGGATGCAGTACAAGGTAGCATGGGATTTATCTGTTTCCTCTGTCTCTCTCCCATGGGTATTGTCCTCTAGGTCTGGATCAGGAGACAGAGTGTGGTCGCCAACTTTTAGCGATGATGGCAAGACAAGTCCTTACACGGAGACGACTGATTCACAGGTAACATTGTTCACTCTGTTTTTTTACGTATGTTTTTTTAACTAAACAGGCATTTTGTTAACAAATTTCTGTTAGGATTCACACCCAATACGCTAACTAAACAGGCATTTTGTTGACAAATTTCTGTTAGGATTCACACCCAAGGCGATTCTTCAGAACCGATCTGTCTTGAATTTCTCATGAAGCCAGCACGATGTGTTTCTGTTCAACATTTGGTCCGACTCCATCTTACACAGCTGTCCTTTTTTTTTGGGTCGAGACGTGAGAGTTTTGATATCACAAGAACAATATTTGCCCGTGTTTTGTCAAATCTCTTTAGAAAAGTAGAGGATTCGGCCTATTCTCTGTTGCTGTTTCAGATTTTTCTTGAAACAACATCGAGAATGTTATACAAACACCGTGTCCCCGGCACAGCAACGTTCTCACGTGTGAAAAATTATACTGTGTCCATCAAATCGACAGAGAGATCGACATTTTTTGAAATACAACACCAACTGGCCTCGGACGTCGTTACTGTTAGGTTGAGAGGAGGGAATCAGATAATCAGTAAAACATTTTAAAGGAACACTAAGCAGCACAAATGCTGAAGATTTTCCCTGCTGTTAGTGGCACATGTTTTCAGACAGATTTACGTGGACTGTGACACAGTTGAATGATGTTCTCTAGCAATGACTCCGGTGGGACTGTGTGAGTCATGTAACAGGGGAAAGATGAAATAATTTTTGCCATGTTCTTCAGGGTCATGACCTCAGCCGGCATGAGTATCATCACATCAGTACGACAAAGGAGGAAAAAAGGAGTTGCGTTTCAAAGAAAATCTTTGATTTAAGGTCAAGACAAAACCGCCTTTGTGATGAAGGTCACATCATACTACACCGGGAGTCTCTTTGTGGTTCGGTTTAAGGAATACTCTATACCCACCTTATTCAGGTTGGCGATGATTCAGGAGGATATTTCTTCTCAGTCTTATTTATAGTCATCTTCTCGTTTACAGTGTCGGCCACAGGAAAGACTGAATCACATTCTGTGGCCGTAACGTAAGAAAGAACAGGGTGTGAGACCCGGGAGCTTCTGGGTCTGTTGACACCATAAACAGAATCCATGGAAACAGAGATCTGTAAATTGCACACACTCAATAATTCGCGTGATGATTATGTACGAGATAATGTGTCCCTCTGTTCGCTAGAATGGCTATGAAATAGTATGGTGATTGTTCTCAATTCATGCCGGCTGCCAAATGGATATTCAGCGCAACTCCAGAAGATGATCTTTATCCAAGTTTTCCAGTGCTGACAGGCTAACTAACAGGTTCGTAAGTGGTGTGTGTGACGTGTGTGTGAGCTGAACCTGCAGACAATGAGCATATTGTGGTTAAGATTATGTGGAAGATCTCCATTTGTCAAGTATTGTGTTCTGGCAGTTCAGGAGTCAGGACTCCTCTGTGTGTCTCATTCAGGGCCGGGGATTTTTGTCTAAACAGACCAGAGGTGAAATGGATCCCTCCTCCCATTAATGGCAGTTTGACACCTTACCTTGTTGTCTGAGGTGGAGACAAAGGTGAAAGAGGCTCCAGTGTACGCAATCAATCAGTTCGTTAGTGGCTGAGACATCAGCGTTCTCAAAAGACAGTTCCTTTATAAACGCTAAGGCAGGCAGTTTCCCAGGAGGCTTTTGGTCTGAAACGTGCTTTAAAAAAAAAACAGTTCCAGTCATGCTGCAGCTATAGGTTGTGTTTTTCCTTGTTGTCCATACAGTATGAACTACAACAATCCTAAAAGCCCTAAACTGAAAGTGACAGCTCATAAAAATAATGTTTGGGAAGACGTCAGACAGGACTTGTCAGCATCTCCGACATCAAGAACGTGCAGCAGAGCAGTGAGAAGAACCAACGGCCACAGCAGTTGATACAAACATGGACAAGGTCGACACCAAGACTCTAAAAAGAATATGTGGTAGAATTTGTTATAGTTGAAAAGATTTTAAATTAATTAAAAAAAGGCAGTTAATTTAATTACATGAGGTTTAGTTAAAACAATTAAACAAAAAATATAGAATTATATTATTTTAATAAAAGTTTTGATTTACTAGTATGACCAAAAGTATAGATCAAAATGACTTTTACTAGAAAACTGATTCATATTTAGTCAGAAAAAAAATAGACCTGCATAAACATATGCGAAAATTTTACATTTACATTTAAAAATAGTAACAAATAAACAATTTTACATTTACATTTAAAAATAGTAGACAACAGAAATTTGAACACGCTCCCTGCAGTATCTTTGACTGAATGGAGCCTAGATGCCTGGAACCATCCTCGGCCGTAGCTCGTGCTCAGGTAAATCTATCTTTACACAAACAGGGGAAACATCAGCTCCCCGGGGTCTGATAAATGACCCGCGCTCTTTCATTCTTTGTTTCCTGCTGTGTCAGACCGCAGCTTGAAGGAGAGCACTGACACAATGGCGATTACTCCTTTGACACTTCTCCTTTATTAAAAACAATATTTTCACCAAGGTCTTTAACAGCGCCTGAACCGAGTCCAAACTGAACCTTTTGTCATGCAATTCTCACACAATAAGTAGACCGTGAAGCGGCTTATCTAGAAAACATATTTTGTATACGCTCCCTGCTTTTTGTAAGATGAGCTACAAAGACAAAAGGTCATAAAGGAAGAATTGTCATTGAAATGCAGCCAGTTTTGTCATTTGCCATCTATTCTTGGAAATGCTAATGTGGGAAATACTGAACAGGAAGTGACACAAAGACATTTTGAGTTGTTTCTTTTAGCCTTGAAAGCATTGACTTCTCTCCAAAGTAAAGAAGAATCTTTTTAGTAGATGTAGGTGATGTGATTGTTTTGACATTTCTTTTTTAGAGTTTGTAAATGAAACTGTTTGGGAAATTTAGCAAGAGAGTATGACATGTTTCTAAGAAAGTGCACTCAGGATGTTATACACAACTTCCTGAAGATAAACAGGGCTGGCAGGAATGATGAGATAATGATGAGTGTCGGTAAACAAAAAAAGTACGAAAAAAAAAACGTTCATGGAGTTCTGACAACAAAATGTTGACCTTCACTCCTGTCTTTAGATCCAGTTAAACAAATGGACCATAATCAAATGTTCTTCACAGGTTCTAAATTTAAGGTTTAAGGATAGGGTGCGCTCGATGGAATTACTGTGTAACACAGTCATCATGGTGGTTTTGTCAAATAGAATTGGACTCGTTCTCAGACTCTGGAGTAAAGCAGTTCCTCTGGAGTCTCTACATCAGGGGTGTCATTTTTAAGATATGTAATATAGAATTTGTTTCATATGGAAACAAATTTGAGTCTAGTTGAATCTGGTACAACCAAAACGTATTAGTATTATAAACACATTAGAAATGACCTCTGAAATTAATCACACACCAGTAGAAGTTGTTTCTTATTATGTTTTTATGCCAAAAACCAAAACAGAATGTATGTGCTATATCATAGCCTAACATCGCTAATACTACAAATCCTCTAGTACACATTTGATTGTGGGCCAGATTTGGCCCACGGGCCTAAGTTTGACACATATGCTCTACATGATATTGATTTGCTAATTTATACCAAGACTGATAAAATTTAAATTTTGGAGATAGACATTGAAATGGGAATTTTTCTTCAACCAAAATGTTCTTTTTCCAAGTGCCATAACTGAAAAATGGAATCTTATTTAAGTGATACAAGACTAAATTACTGTGACCTTGGTGAGTTTTTAAAAACCAAAAATGAAAAATGTCATTACAAGCTCTGATTATTTCATTAATGATTACTGTTGGAGAAATGTAGTTCCTTAAAACGGAACCTTTTATCCAAAAAGAACAACAAACTGCCCCAGGCTTCAAAGTTTTCACCTCATCCTACTCTTGGATTTTAAAGTCTGGTTGTCAGCTCTTCTCCAGGATCAGTTTTATGCAGCCGTAAAGTGAAACCAGCATTTACTGCCATGTCAGGTTTTTCTACAAATTCTTTCCAAAAGTCTTATAAAGTTGCAGCGCAGAGAAGGTGGGAATGGAATATTTGCCAAAGTTCAAGTCAAAACAAAATGTGTTGGCAAGCGTTGCCAGAATGCCATTCATGGCTGAACACCCTGTTATTAAAGTGACGGCCTATTGTGGCCAAACACTTCGGCCGTCTGGAAAGAATGAGGCTCCACAATGTGGAGGAACGTAGCGCTGCGGATCGTGTCGCACTGCAGTTTCCTCTCCCACTGCTGGAGCTGGCAGCTGAAGTGGGATTCTCTGAGCTGTCATTAACACGAGGTGACACACACAACAATGCCACTGAGGCTGGGACATTCAGTTCAACTTCAGATCCGGCTGAAGTTTTTAACATGTAGAAACTTGGGTTTAAAATGTTAGCACTTTAGCGTCCGACTAGACCTCGCCAAACTACGTACACACGTCCTGTTGTGTTTTCAGTTACTGCGACCTTTGTGACCTAATCCTCGGCCAGGAAATCTCAGACCAGTGGTGCGTTACTGGAAGCATTATCACGGTTTATTTACTAAGCAGTTTTTTTTTTAGACCCCCGACCTTTGACCTTACTTGTTTGGGTGTTTGTGCGCCCTAATCAGTGAGTAATCCCAGTAACGTCCAAATCAGTTCTTTGGTTTTGGTAACGGAGACGTCCCTGCTCTGGCCGTCTGTCAGAGTGGATGAGGTCATTGATACAGGTCTGAGGAGACACTGAGGGTTTTTCTCAAGTGTTTTCCAAGGATTAGGAAGGATTTGTGTCTGTTGTAATCTCCTTCCACCCATGTTACTTTCAGCTGTTGATATGGGTCAATGCTGTAATTACTGTTTCTGATTCAGGAGCGTAGATCGTCTACCCACTGAAGCCCAGCCACAGACACAGCACATGACTTACTCATCTGCATATAACATGTTTTAGTGTTTCCCAAACTTTTTTCTGGGGACACATATTTTAAAAGTCACAAACCTTCGTGACCCAAGTCAATAGACATTATTCGTCCCAAAAAAGAATCTCTTGTCGCGACCCAGTGTTTGGGCAACAATGCTTTACACAACAATGTTCTTTCCCTCCAAAAAAAGACCTTAATAAATATATATATATATATATATTCAACAAATCCCAAGCCCAGAATCCACCACCCAATTAATTTCTCTCAAAAACATTCCAACACTCACCCAGTAAAGCAACAAATCCAGGCCCAGAGGACCATAAAGGGCTGGTTTGTGTTTGGTTAGTGGTGCACAGCCCCGTTTTAAAGGCTCAATTTGGAAGGTCCAGAGGGATTAAACCATGCAGGAGGCAGAAGAGAAGAGAAGAGAAGAGAAGAGGGCCCCATCTGTGTGAGTCTGTTGTTTGTGTTGTCCTGAATTTGGATTTCTCTGGTAAGGCAGGCGGGCTGAGGTCTCGGTCTACGGTTAAAGACAGACATATGATTCCAATTATGCTGGTCCACCTTTAACTCCTACTCAGCCCCCCCCCCCAGCTCACCCCCGGCTCCACCTCTTGCCCTTTCTGCCATCTTTGACCCATTGCCCAACTCACTGGGGTAGAAGTTAGAGATTGTGTAGAAAAATCTTGTCTCATTTAAGTCCTTGAGTTGAGACTGTTAAAAAAATGACTTTTTTCCAAGATTTTATCCAAGTGTATTGATTAAGCATTCATGTGCATTAGGCATAAAAGTTATATTCATAATATGAATAAAATGGAATCAAATAAACAAAAGACTAAATGGAAAAAATCATACAGAGTTTCTCCCTATATTTGTCTTTTCTATCTCATTTTTTTATATTTTGAGGCAGCCATCTTGAACTACTAGTCAGTATCGTAATCAACAAAAAAATCTGTACAGATACAGGTTTGCTCCACATAAATACTGTAATTTTTAAATAATGTTATTAGAGGTACAGAGTTTTTAACCCGTTATCAATGAACAACCAACCCAATAAGACACTCACGATACCTGAGTCCAACACCTTCCAGATACTGAGTGACAAAATAAAGCTGGTCACTGAGACAGTTTCTCCTCACAGCTGATTTTCATGGAATCAGGAACTGAAGCCAGCATTCATTTTAAAGCATCTTAAAGTTTTTGAATCTTCCCAAAACTGGCATTTTTATAAGGCGAGCACCAGATGTGTTTCTCCTATAAATCTGCCACCCACCTGAGGCAACTATCCGGGCAACAGGAACGCAAAGCCAGAGAGGAAAGTGCACTTTTTATGAGGAGGAAAGACAAAAGAAATTGTCAGGAATGTGGAGCCGGAGAAGCAGGAGAAGTCCCAGTATTCCAGGGAAGAACAGAGAAGAGGGTGGAAGTGGGTAAGAACAGGGAAATTCCTTTGTAGTGGTTTGGGAGTGCAGCGTGTACCAGGTCATATTTGTTATTGGTGTCACTGTCAACAGTGTCTGTTCATTGGACTGTGGACTGGAGGTATGAAGGAATTCATTATTTTCCGTGTTTATAATAGCTGTGTTTATCCAAATCAAACAGATTCAAATTCATAGCTTTCCTTCCTGACGTGAAGGGATGTCGTAAGGACAGAGCGCGTCCTCTGTTGCTCTGAATCTTGAACCCATCTGTGACAAATTTGCGATTTTAAGGCTGTTTAAAAAAAACCTAATATTATTCCTGCAGCAGTTATTTTCCTCCCGGTGAATTAAACAAAGCCTGTTTTTCTCTACCTCTTTTTTTTTTTTTTTTTTTTTGTGCACATATTGGTACATGTTAGCGTGTGATTACCAGTTTGCCTGCCTGCAGTGTGACATGTTTGTACAGATTGTGTACATTGCTTTAATGTAACGTCTCTGCTGTCGTGCCACTGTGGGAGTGTGTAACTGAATATACTCTCAGGGATTTTCCTGCACTTGACTCCGTTTAATCTCTGAACACAGGCAGGAGTGAACTTGCCTGTTTCTGATACAGCTATTGTTACGGTTGTTACTTACGGCGCAGGTACAGTAGCTCTGCTCAAATAGGATTACAGAAGAATGGATTTTTTTTTTTATGGTGGGGTAGGGAAAAGTTGAAGCGACATGAAAGGACAAGTCCTGGTCACAGTTTCACTGTGTTGAAAGAGAAAAGACAAATTGGCAGTAAGATAAAAGAGTTAGAAGTTCAAATGGGCACCTGAAGGGAGGCGGGGCAGAAAAGATATCACTCAAATGAAGTGTAGCAAAAACGCTCCCAAAGATTCGGTTGCAACATCTGTTCAGTGATGGCATTTGAACGGTACATTTAGATTTTTCCGACTGTGTAAATGTAAAAGCTCGTGTGGGTCTGAAGTCATCTTTTAGGATTTGGTTTGGCTGCTTCTTTTATGGTGTGGTGGGAACATGGCTCCAGAATGAGCTGGAAAAGGTTTGGCATTAAGGTGAATCCAAATTAGAGGCTTAACAAGATCGGCTGCTCGTTGTTACCAATTAAAAATGGCCTTATCAACAAAATAAAAATAAAAAAAACGTTTTTTTCTATCATGACCCTTTTGAAAACCGTGCACATTCAGCAGCAGTTTCCACCTTTTTTACTATGTTATTACCTTACTGTACAGCTCGTCTATAAGAACGCTGCCATGACAGGAAGTCTTACTTCGCCTCTGTCTTGACTATTTTAAGATGTTTCAAAGTTGGGATTTAAAAATTGAGTTGGCCAGTGATAAAAAAAAGACTAAAAATATTTTCTTTTGCTCCACCAACTTTTCTGGAGATAGGATTGGTGTCTTCTCCCACAGCTGTCTGGGTATGTCAGTCTTCACAGCCCACAGTTCTTTGAAGACAGTGGGTTTTGAACTTCTTGAAAGGAAGTCTGTCTAAATTGCAGGAGGCAGAGAAATGATAGCACACATTTCCAAGATGTGGGCTCGTCGGCAGAGATGACGATTGGTCTCGAGCGTGCTTAGAAGTACTGATTACAGAAGATGATATTCTGACGCGTCACACACTGCGTGTGTGTGTGTGTGTGTGTGTGTGTGGTCCAGAAAAGGGCTGAGGACAGGATGATTTCCAGCCAGCCCATCTGTTGAAATGACAGGGGTCCTGTCCAGAAAGCCTAGAAACTTCTACCTCCCGTGGCTGAGACACTATAAACCAAACCGTGTCACACACACGGTCACACAGATTTACACGTTTGACTCCAGTAGCTCACTCTTCTCCCAGAAGTGTACAGAATAACTTATTTCCCCTCTCGCAGCATTACTTCATTGACAAACCAGCTAGTGTGAGTGGAGAGCCGTGCTTCATCAGTCAAAGCTTCTTCGTTATCTCTCACTATTAAGCACCCAAACACTATCAGAGGTGATGACATCACTGCAGACCATGCAGTCATCTCTCTGCGAAGGTCAGTTCTTCAGACTGGCCTGGCGTTTAATGGTGTTGCTAATGTTTTGCTGATAGCCGCGGTAAACACTGAGCTAGTCAGTGATGTCACCAGGAGTGTGTTGAACATGCACAGAAGAAGGGCGTCGACCTCAGAATAAACACACTCACTGTGTATTCAGTGGCCCAAATGGAGGTGTTTGTGCAACGACCCTGTTTTCAGCGCTAACAGAGCAGCTACAGTAATAAAGAATTCAGCTCCAGCATGTCGGGATCACAGAAGTGTAATCCTGTACAGTGAATCCGCTTTGTCAGGGTCTATAAACTATTAGATTTATACATAAAACAGCCAGAAATGGAAGGGAAAGAAATCTCCCTGAGATAAGTGGGTTTTTCTACTGCAACAGTTACAACAAAACACAAAAGTTGATTTGTTTTGACAGGAACATCTGTAAAATATATAATTCAAGTCCCTCCTAAATAACCCTCAGTATTAAAGCAGAGAATGCAGAAATGAAGTGGAACAAGTTTTTCTTTTTTTTTCAAACCTCACCCCCCACAAAACCACAGAGAACGACCCAACTCTCTTCTTCTGAGCAATTGTGGTTTTTTCAGTCAGGGCACCAGAAGAGGTTCTTAAGCTCTGATTTCTAAACCAAACCATTAACCATTTTTTGCCCAAAAAAAAAAAAAAAAAAAAAAGTAATTGGTCATTCGCCAGATTTTCTTCGTTTTGTCTTTCTAGAATTTCCGTCCCATCAACAGTGGATTCAGTGGTTACAGCCGTAAACCTTCGTACACTCCGGAGCCACAGTCCCCACCAGCGCCTCAACCCACTCACATGAACAACGGTCACTCCAAACCAAATGGCCACAGTTTTGGATACACAACAACTGCAACTGGGCCCAACCAGTACAACAGCCCGACAGGACTGTATGGGAGCAGCAACGGTGACAGACATCTGCCCAGCAAGATGGGTGGCCTCAGCCTCAGCGCCTCCCACAGGTATCTATATATGCAATGTTACAAGCAACAGGTTACGTGCACAACGGTGAAAGAAAGGTTCTGGGCATAAACAAGAGTGGAATCTGCTGCTGAATGTGCATTCCAAACCTAAAGGACATATCGTAGTAAGTTTTGCAATTTCATCTGAAAAAATGTGCCTTGCACAAAATAAAAAATGACATTTTCTACAGACACAGAGTCAAATTCCCTGCTCCACAGTCGACGGTTGTTTGTTTTAGCCATCTAAACATAACATCCCATTTAACCTCTTAATAACAAATTACGGAGAAAGTCAAGAGGCTAGCCATGGTAGCCGTGGTATTGGGGGTCTGCATCGACTGTAAGTGACGGTACCATTGTTAAGGAGGCCGGACCAGAACTCCCCCAGGAACCGGACTTGACAATGAGACTGTGAACTGTCCCCTCACACAGATATAGACGCCTGTCAACACGATTTATGTTAAGGTTTATATTTGACTTGACTGATCATGTTGGCTATCATGGCCTAAGGACTTACATAACAGCTATGTTTCATATTTATTCTTGGGGAATACAGCTTTTACATATGGCAACAGTTAACATTTTTTTGTCATATTATCCTGCTGCTTCTTTCATCATATTCCTTCAGCTTTTCCAGGTTGACCTTATTGCACAAAGAACACAAAAAAAGGAAATCGACGGCCTTTATGATCGGCTATATTTAAATAAACACAGCTCGTGAATTAGCCAAAAATACTCCACATCTTGCACACAAGTTTCCGTGACAAAACCCTGAAAACAGCTGTTCACTCCGACAAACACGCAAACGCAGGGACACCTGCACAGATGGCAGAGACATTTGTTGTTGGGATTCACCTCAGGTGGACAATAAATGTGTGTGTTTAGGCTCCCAGAGAACATTCTCTCTGGGTTTCTCCTGCACTGGGCTGTTAATCTGCACAAGCGCCTCCTCCCGACTCTTAGAGGGGGGTCTGGAGACAGACCTGCAGTTTATGTGTGTCAGGATGGGAGCACATCTGTCAGCAGCCCCGTGCATCTCCCACAGGTTCGAAAGTATCAAGTGAACACGATCCACCCGGTGAGGTTTGGGAATAACTTGATGGATGGATGAACATCGGGAACCACACTGCAGAGTTGTTGTGATTGAGACTTCACGGCTGTGGAATCACGTGTGCAGTTAAAAGTATACACCTCTGTTTTTCCTAGGTTTGTCCATATTTCGTACGCTTCCAGAGCCAAAAACGAGAGAAAGCGTAAGCTGAGACTTTCGACCAATGTCATCTTTCCTCCCTTCTCTGGTTACCTGCCAACGATTGCCTTCCTGTGGTTCTAACTTGGTGGTCTCACATCTGACAACTGTTCTTTTGTCCTTCTGTTTAGTCTCTCAATCCTTCATTGACATCATGGCATCACTCGTTAAAAGAAAAGGTTCCATTTAGAGACACCTGAACAGAACAAAGGACATGACGACGTCCAATAACAGAGAAATATTTGATATCCTGTCTCTTCGTCGTTACTGAAGGACGTTGATTTACAATAACACAATTTCTTTTCCATTTTCCGGTCTCTTTCAGCCCCGAGCCTCCCTTGCACTCCCCCGTGAGCCGTAATGGTTTCGATCCTCAGTCAGCCGTCTACAAGATGTTGCAGGACTACGAAGAGCCAGTCTCTCAACCAAAACAGTCCGGATCCTTCAAATATCTCCAGGAAATTTTGGAGGCTGAAGATGGAGGTAGGCACGTCTTAACTGCACAAACAGTAGTTGTCAGTACTTGGGAGTACTTTTCACAATATTGCATCATATGTTTGTTTTTTTACAATATTTTATGCAATTGTTCTTTAATTCTGCAGTGTTTCACCAGCTGTATGTTTTACTGCAGTCAGCTCTTCACTGATGGAACAAATACTATTGGTATCAGGCTGTTGTAAACCAGTACACGCTCAAGCCCACGGTCCTTTGTGTACACGCAACTCTATACCATACATGCGTATTTTAGTAAATATTTTCCCCTCCACACAGATGAGGTCGACTGCAGCCAAGGGGAGATTTTTCTAAGGCAGTTGTTAAATCCTCTGTCTAACTGACATAGTTTTCCTTTTATAGAGAGACAGAGATGGAGTGGACATGGACATGGACAGACAGGATGAGTGAGAGAGGGAAAGTGAGATTGAGAAAAAAACAACACACAGACAGAACGGGGGGGGGAAAGTGCTTTAATTAGCCCACGCACAAATGAACAGAGGAAGGAGGATTTTATAAGAAAGAAAGTGCTTTAATTAGCCCACGCATAAATGAACAGAGGAAGGAGGATTTTATAAGGCATGTACTGCGAAAACAACTTTACAAAGGACAATAAAGTGAGAAATATGGCCTTCCTGTCTTCCTTCTGACCACTCAGCCATCCAACTTTGGAGTATGTGACCCTGACAGCTGCTGGGAAGGGGTAATCCCTCAGACAAAAAACAAAAACTTCTGTTTGGTTTCTTGTTTATTTCCAATGAAGGCCAAATGCGAAAAAAAACGATGCTAAATCCATTGTTTGTTTTTTTGTCAAAGGCCAAAATACACAAACTTTAGAGAAGAGGGGTCGTGACCTGTTGGGCCCTTTTGACCCCAGCAAACGGAAGCTCAGCTGTCCTTGAGAAAAGGTCTTTAACCTTGTAAATACCATTAGTGGAGTGATAGCAGATGTGTATTTACTAATACTGCAGGCTTTGTCAGGGGAAAGTATCGCACCAAGTATATTTGGTCTGAATGTATTTCCGTCCACAGTTTTTGGCTTTTGTGCTGTGAAGGGGGTTACACACACACACACACACACACACACACACACACACTGGCCTTTAAGCTGGCACAGATGTTTCGATAGAAAAGGCCCGGAACTCTCTTGTCATCTGAGTGTCCTCTTGCAACATCACAAACAATGATGAAAATAGTTTGTCCTGGAGGTCATTTTTTTCTACACAGAGCTGAGCCTTGCAACTTGAAATCATTTTCTCTTGCTTTTATTCTCATCGCAATTCATCACAAGGAAACAAATGATTTAAACCCATGGATCGACTTGATGAAAACCAGATGCATCGCTTGTTTTTATGACATACAGCATATAGAAAAGTATCCTACGAATCCCTTAAAGAAAAGTTCAGATTTGGACAGTGCGTTAAAGAAGGTTAATAAACATTATTGTCTCACAACTCATTTAGATATCAAAGGTTCGACAAGTATAACGGAGAGAGGCAGCGATAAGAGATACGATCGGGGATGTCCTCAGATACTTTCATCAAAAACATGTGCCGATTTAGCAACAGCTTCTCACCACAAACAGCTGTTCAACAGGCAACCAGTGTCTCACTGTCCTCATAGGTAGTTTATAAAGCCAATCAACAGTAGGTTAACAGATGTGTAAAGACTGGGTCGAGACCCTCAGGTGGGTCGCAAGAGATTTTCTTTTTGGGTCGTCTTACATCATGTTTCCCAGGAGTTTATGAATAATATCTATTATTATCTATCCAAAAAAAAACCTTTAAGGAACACTGTGTTAACACTTAACAAAACACCCCGGGAGGCGCCATAGCACAGAATACAAATGTAACAGAACAGTGGATTTTGAGGCGTTTGCACGTCTTACAATAACTTGTCTACTGAATAATATCTTGCACGTCTTACAATAACTTGTCTACTGAAACATGGAAAACTCAGTTTAAGCCCCCTATTGGTGGAAAAGCTCTGCTCACTTTCTGTTCAACTGGCTGTGTTAACTGAAGGGAAAGTTGAATTTGTCTTTATTTTGAACAGCCATTCTGCAACAACAACAAAAGAAAACATGTTTTACATAAAAATACCTCATTTGTTTTCCTTGTAGAACATTACAATTATTTAGCAAGTAAAAAAAAACGACCTTACGAGTTATTACACTGTTTGGACGACGTCTGATGTGAAAACTGACAGGATAATCCATTGCACAAAGGAATAATGCTTATTGTCTCTTTAGTGAAGGCGGGTGAGCTGCCACACAAAGAAACAGCAGAGGTGAAATTTGCTAATGACAGATAAATGCACTGCAGGGAGAGAGAGAGGGTGGAGAGAGGTACAATGTATGTGGACTTAAGTGATTGGAAGGAATGTTTGACTGCTGCCAGTGGACCTTCAACAGTGGAGACTGAAACTCTGTCTGACAGACTAAATCCACGGGATTAAGTCCTACGGTATCCTTTCTAAAATCGTGCTAGTGTCTAAGAGCTAACCCTCTTTGAATCACGTAGTCGTACATTTGCTAATATGATGTCGCAATGAAGAATAAAAGCAGTCAGATTAAACATCTGAGCAGCCCAGGCTCACAGGGTCAAGCAAGATCAAGTTGTTTTTGCAGGCATACCGTGTTGTCAGGCTTTTAAATCACTAAAGCCGGTCTCTGTTTGAAGGAGTTCCCTGTAGAGAGCATGTTGACTTTCAGGAGCCTTTAAAGGTTTAAACAGGAGTGTAGGTTCACCCAGAATGCCACAGGATAGCAATAGTGATAGGTGAGGGGGGTGTTAGGTGAAGGAGAAAGGTTGAAGAAGTTTGATCAAATTCTACCGACCTTCAGACCTGTTTGTGTTACGTTAACCTCTGAGGTTAGTGTCAGGGTCCTAAGGTACGCTTGGTATTAAAAAATGGAGGTCTAGAAAAAAATGTTTTTTCCACCGTTTCAACTCTTGCAAAATTATCAAAGATTTGAAATGCACCTTATATAATGTATAATGTGCACCTTAATAATCATATCATTTCCATCTCTCCTTATTTATTGAACACATTGTATCTTACATAAATAGATATCTTACATAATAAACATCTGTATCTTAGATAAATAGAAAGTTCACCTGATGACGACCATGGCTGCCACAGTATGACATATGTTTGTTATGTTTTGATTTTTTTTTTTTTGTACGATCTCTCGAGTCTCCAAACTCAAACATTCGACAAGCTCCAGTCAGTGAGCGCCTCCTCCTGTAACCCCCTCACTATCTGTCTGCCGAGTTTGGCGACCAAATTACAGGCCTGGAGTTGTGTACAAACAAGACCAAATAAACACTCCACCCCTCGTCTCCCCGTCTTTGAAGACTTTTATTAGTCAACCCAACTCTGTGTGAAGAGATTGTAAAAATACTCGAAACAAAAGGTTTCCCGTTTCGGAGCGTGATGTGATAGAGGTTCTAGAGACATTAATAACCGGCTAATGTCAACTCCTCAACACATGCTGGAGCAGGAGCTGTTGCTGCCAGACTCTGGATCCTTTGAATTGAGTGCCAAATGCCAGGTAATTAGGTTTGTGGGTAGTAACAGTGATAGGTGGCCTGTGGGCTGCACGCCCTCTCTGGCACATCCACAGTGAAGAAGTCACAGCCTCGCTGCAGTTTAACGACGGCGCCCCGCTGTTCCAGATCCACTCTGGAGGACGGGGAAATACTCAAGTAGTTCCAGATACGGAGCATTAATAAGGTTTCCTCAATGCATTCCATTAAATTAGGACTAGTGTTAGCGACCTCTTAAAAGAAAAATATGACTTAACATTTTTCCGACTATAAAAAGTCGGAAAAATATTTTTATTTTCCAGTAAAAGCAGAATATGTTTTATTGGGTCCCAATTATCCAATGACTAGACTGCATGCCAATGTGTCCCTGGCACAGAGCTGCTCTCCTGTTTGTTAAACATTTGATACCATTAATCCCTCTGGGGCCAAACACCTCACATCTGGCCCGAGAGTGGCTATCAATAATATTTTTGCACTGAATTATCAATAGTTTTTTATTAAAATAGTTTGGTTTTAAATGGTTTAATGAGAAAAAAAAATTTGTACTGCAGTATTATACAGTATTTGTTAGTATTCTTGTAAAATATCTAGGGGATTGTACTGAACATCGAACACAAACTTGGCAGTGCAGAGCTAGGCTTGTCAATATATTATTAACCCTGTATAAGATACAGGTTTAATAATAGATCCAGAAAGCAATTTCGTGGTTTAAGATCTGCCCAGTCTTGCAAAAAACTCACTTGTATTTGTGTGGGTTTTTTTTTTGTCTCTGTTTTTGTCTCTAGGTGTGTCTCCCACAGAGAGATTGAGAAACTTGAAGTCTCCAGTCAGATCTCCCATTCCTAAACTGGGGAGCCCCATTCCCAGTCCCATGTCTGGTCTACAGAAGCTGCCCCAGTGCACACGCTGCTGTAATGGCATTGTGTAAGTGTTGAATGCTATTATTTAAAAAAAAAAAAAGAAAAAGAAAAAGAAAAACAGTGCACACATGGTGTCCTTTGGCCTTGTTGTATGAAAAAGCCGGCCAGTATACTAATTATGTGTGCTTTTCATTACAAAACCTCATTATTCTAGTCCATAAAAAACATTACATAAAAATGAGCTCTTTAGCTTCTGGGGTAGAGACCACATCAGGTAGGTTCATCTTTACTGCAGCACCGAACAAGCATTTTTACAAACTTTCTTTCCTCCCAATTAATAAATCGGATCACCTGAAAAACACAAACACGCTCATTTTTTTCACTAGGCTTTTGGTCCTAAAGTTAAAGCAGGTGAACCAGGGGGACATTTATCATTATGATTCCTAATTATGATCACACACCCTTTCACACACAGATACACTCTTCACAGGAAAAACAGAGCAGGTCCGTACACACACGCACACACACACACCTTTCTGCTGAAGTAGCGTAGTGCTCCAGTAATCCCTCCTCTGTAAAGCGGTTGTAGGTGAGCGGTGAAGTCATCGTCTTTTTCTTCCCATGAACAAGAACATATTGTGGGAGCCTGCGTGGTATAATGAAGCCGTTATGCCCCGGCAGCGTTTTTATTGCCTTTTTAAACAACTGAAGAGCACTGTGTCAAAGGTTTATCCTGCGAGTGGTGTGGTCAGACGGCGAGGGCTGGTAAAATAAAGACGCAGGCCGAACCACTGAACGGTTGCTGGCACTAATCCTGAGCACAGAGGGAAAATCTTACATGGAGCTGCCACAGCTGCAGCCACTGTGTCACAGAGTACGGCAGTGACACATCTGAATTAATAGGCCGACCAGACCAATAAAGGCAGTATTGGGCTTTTTATTAGTGAGGGAACAAGCAGTCAAGGTTCAGCCCTTCATTGTTCAGTCCAACACAGGAGCAGGATCAGGATCAGTAACAGAACTGAACAGAACCAAAGGACACCACAGTGATCAGACAGAACTCACGGGGCAGACACACAGTGGCAAACAGTGAACTGACCAGGACACAGTGAGGGGTAAATATAACCTGAGCACCAGGTGTGACCAGTCAGAGCTAACGAGACAAACTGAGCACAGGACACAGGTGAGCGTGGTAAACTGATTACACTGGGAGAGACAGAACGACGGGCAGAGGGGCAGGAAGGCGTGACACCATAGAACCATAGTATTTCTCTGTTGTGTGTTTTTTTAGTAATTCACTGCTGTACTTGCTGCAGTACTTCCTTCCTTTAGATCGGGGTGTCAAACTCATTTTCTTTCAAGTACAATCATGACATAATTACTTATAAACAACAATAAATGCTAATTTTTTCCTTTAGTTTCCATGCAAAAAAAAAGTTGTTAGAAAGTTATATGAGAAAATATTCATATTGAATGAAATATAACTTTACAAAACATCAGCAACATGGAGTGTTTGTGCATTTTTTTTACTTTCAAAATTCACCAAGAGGCCTATATTTAATCTCCTAATGGGCCGGTTTTGGCCCACAGCCCTATGTTTGACACCCCTGCCTTACATCATATGTGTCACATGTACATTATTTGTAACGGGAACAAATACTTATCAACTGCAGAAACATTTATTAATATGTTATTGAGTCTATACCGTCTCTTCAAGGAACAGCAACCGTGTTGCTGACGTAAATTGTCCTCGGTGAAAATGAGTTTGACCCCCGCCTCAGATTAACACGGTGTTTTCCTTTGTCTCTGTCCAGTGGAACCATCGTGAAGGCCAGAGACAAACTCTACCACCCCGACTGCTTCGTGTGCGACGACTGCGGCTTGAACCTCAAGCACAAAGGCTACTTCTTCCTGGAGGACAACCTGTACTGCGAGACACATGCAAAGGCGCGCGTCCAGCCACCAGAGGGCTACGATGTCGTCGCCGTGTATCCAAATTCCAAGGTGGAGATTGTGTGAGACAGACATGGAGCTGGGATTCCCACAGAGGAGTGGGCTGACTTAGGTTGAGCAGAAATATTGATCCTGGATCAGTTTGCCGTTGTATGTTGCACTGATCTGTTATTAGCATTTCTGAACACACAGACCTAATAAATGTAAAAGTATGTTGACATAGAATTGACAATAGGATTCAGACCTGAAGGGTTTCCTGAAACTCCACCCTGATGAACAAACCCACAATTTTACAAATCTGACAGTTTTCATCTCGTAAAAGTGTTTAGACGAGGCGTAGGTTCAAATCTCATCATCAAAACAGCAGATTCCCAGACCATTCCATGGAATCACCAGTAGGGTTTATCACTAATACAACTAAAGAATGACGCGGAACCTTCCACTGTAGAACGCAAAACACACACAATGTCTTTTATGGTGAGGTGGCGTATTGTTTGAGTTTCGGTTTGTGGGTTTTAACTTTTTTTTTTTGCGTCTTTTCGACTTTGTTCCCACTATTACATTATACATACATTATACCACAGCAGCTGAAGTAATGCACATGCTTTCCGGACTTTTCAGACAGTTTTGTGTTTGCTCTTTCTATAACAACAGTAGCTTTTTGGTAGCAATAAAAAAGTAGTTCATTGGTCACTGAGCAGGTGAGGGTGGGTGTGGGGTTTAAACTAAAACTGACCTTGAGGTTGTTGTGTGGCTAGTAACTCTGGGAGGTGAGACTAAACACCTGACTGTGTGTTGACTGATATGGTTACGTCCAACAATGGAAACAGAGTACGTTTGGTTCAGAATGCAGAATTTCAACGCTGAAGAATTTGAGTCAGTTCGTAGCAAGCTGGTCCAGAGTTAGCGGCCGTTCATTTATCGTTGCTTTTGTGTAAAGCTGAAGGTTAGAAAGATGTAAAGCTTCAATCTCGTGCTGCCGTGACCTTCATTTTTTCTGGCTGGGTTTAGAAGGGAAGACCCTGATTTTTATGGGTTTTTTTTCTCTGCAAAAAAAAAAATCATTACAACTGTATTACAGCATCATCATTTATGGCTTGTTGTGAATAGTGAGATATACTCGGTGCAGGTTTTTATTTTTACCTTGACAAGATATTTTCTTAAGAAACTGATAAAATTCACAATGAGAAGTTGTTTTTGTTTTTTCTTGTCCTTGTCAACAATGTTGTAGCCACTGGTGCCACCTGAGCTGTAAATCATGTCCTCGCTGCCACGTTGTTCCCGTGTCATTGTACATTTGTTTTCACGGTGACTGCTTCAACACTTTCATGTCACTCACACATGCCTTTTTCTTTTTCGTAGCCTGTGTCTGTCAGTGATTTTCCGACACATGTTCTACGCTGTGTTTAATTTATTGTTCTGCCAACACACAAATTTGTTCGTCTTGTTTGCCTTTTTTTGGAATCTTAATAAAATGAGAAGCGTATTACAAGGATGTCATTGTTCATTGTTTCTAACCACACAGGGTTTTCCCACAGAAAAAAAAACCCCAAACCAACAGTGGACATCAGATCACCAGCTAAACAGCTTTTTTTTAGCTCTGGGCTTTGGATTTTTTTTTTTTTTTTTTTTACCGTAAATATACAAAGAGGAGTTTAATTTAAGAACAGGATCTGAAGACACATTATATCAGGTATAATGTCTGTGAAAAGATGGACAAAACAATTTAATACAATATCACAGTCGCCAAATCAGTATTTGGTTTATGCAAGTCGTACAAGTCAAAATATTTCCAAGTACGACCAAACAGGGCTGATGAATGATGATAAGGGAAATATTTATGAAATTGGAATATGTGAAGCCTGGCACATGAGTTTGGATTTGATGTAAGAAGATAGATAGATAGATGATAGATGATAGATAGATAGATGATAGATAGATAGATAGATGATAGATAGATAGATAGATAGATAGATAGATAGATAGATAGAACTGTATTAATCATGAGAGCAGAAAGAAAAAAAACAATATCAGGATGGTTTTATTGTTTGTTTTTTTTCAAATGCCAATTGCTGTCAGTCAGAAAGAAAAAAACAATATCCGGATGGTTTTATTGTTTGTTTTTTTCAAATGCCAATTGCTGTCAGTAAAATGATCAAAAATGAAAGCTTGGAAGTGTCCAGTTGTAATATTTGTTTCTTGTGAACAGACAGCGTTAAATTCACACTTATATTTCTTAGAGACTCAAAGCAGTGGCAGTTTAGAAAACATCCCAACTCTCTGTGCTGTGGTTTACTTCAGTGAAGTCAATCTGAAATGACCTGCAGCCAGCTCGTGGACCCACGCAGCGAAGTGGAAGCAAAGCAGCGGAGGCAGGGAGAAAAAAAACACACTCAAGGTTTACACGGGAAGAATTCCATCTCCCTCACATCTGTAAACATTGGGTCCATTTTAAACATAAACACTTCCAGTTGCACAGAAACAGAGCAGGCCGTGCTTCGCAGATTGCAGCCACTTAACGGATTCACCATCCAACCGACTAGTTCCATATCCAGCTCCACGGAGTGAATCTTTAAGAGGAAGAGATTTATCTGACTGCATTCCATTCTCTGCTCCATCTTCAGTGTTTATCACATGGAATAAGCAGCGTAGATACAGTGTAAATCCCTAAATGTAAAGTTATCATGACTTGATCTGACATCCAAACTCTGTGTTTTATCAGGTCCCAATAAACCCTCAGAACTGCTGCACTGTTGAACTTTACAACTTGATTTTCTCTCTTTTATCCGTGCGTCTCCTCCCATCTTCACGGGACACACTGTTCCTGCGTGTGCGGTTCCATACGGTACCAACATGTTGCCTGTGACGACCATGATTTGTGGACTCTCAGTGGACGAACGCTGGCTATACCTGTGTTTTGGACTTTGTAGATAACACCAGAGCAACATTCCTGCCATTCCTCTTTAGATATACGGTAAGTTTGGAAGACAAACTATAACTCAAGAGAATATAAAAGCAGGGAAAATGGACAGATCCCTGGATTTAAAAGCCTCTGCGGAGCCTTTGGTCCAGAAGGCGTCTAGATGCAGCGTTTTTGTTTAGATATCAAGAAAAATCCTAATATTATTAAATTATTTTGAAGTAAAACATTACGAATCACGTCTAACGCAGATGTTTAATGAGAGCTGAGGCTGAGCAGAATTTCTGAGGTTTTTCCTCACATTTCGGTTGTGATACCATATCATGTTGTTGTCTGTGATGTTCATGTTGTGCCAGTTAGAAATGTCAACGTTCGATGAGTGAATAGACGTGGTGTTTTGCTAATATCAGCAATGATGCACATTTTTGTGTTTCCTCAATCAATACCACATGTTCAATGTAGGATTTCAGAAACAAATCATTGTTTTGTGTAGTTGTAAAGTTCTAACCACAACAGGTTGTCCTCCGCCCTGAGTTTGGCAGAATGCTGTCAGAATCATTCAGCCTCATTATCCCCAGGGTTTAAAAACAACAAAAAATTAGCCAGGAAAATAAAATTTCACAAGTGGATGGAGAAAGATAAGTAAAAAAACAACTTTGGCATATTTTTTGCGTCTGTCTGCCACTTTTCACAAACACACCACAAGGTTTCACACAACTCTTTAAACAGAAAGGAGTGTTTTGTTAAAAATCATGTTAGTGTAAATTATAATTGACACGTCAATGTTGATGTTTTTACTCGATTTTGGTTTCAGTGTTGACTGAACCAGAAAAATATGCTCTGATGTCATAACTGATTTAAAAGCTCTGTTGTCAGGCAGATAAGTAAGTTTATATTTTATGCATTAATGATAGTTAAATTGTTTTTGCGTGTAATATATATCGTGAGAAGTTGTTTTCAAAACGTCAGACTTCACTGTCAATATTTATTAGGGTTGGCATTGTTAAAACACTGCAGAACATTCTGTGCTGTCATTCAGAAACAGGAATCTCCTCTGAGCTCCTCCGTTTATCCTGACGAGTGTAAACAGCCAAAACCAGCCATCGTCCAGTGGATAAGGGGTCGCCGCCGCTCTGCCTGAGCCCAGACACATGCAGCACATCTCCACTCTCTGAAATCTGTTTAAACAAACGTGGACATAAATACCAAACAGATGGCTGGTGTTGGCTGTTCTCACCAAGGCCCGGTGCTGCGTTAGGTGGATTAGCTGGACGGTGATGACAGATCAAAGCTCTGACTACACTTTGATAGTTTTGATCAAAAAATAGAGGATTAACTCGTCCATGATTTTAAGATGTTTTCCTCCTACTGACCTGCGTTACTGAAACCATTGTTTCCCAAACACCGACGTGATTATAAAGTATCAGTTGCAGTAAAATGAATACGAAACCGACAAAAACATGACACAAACAAAAAAATACCTTTAACAGGAGATTTAGAGCATTGTTTCACAAACACTGGGTCGCAACCCTCAGGTGGGTCGCAAGAGGTTTTTTGGGGGGTCGTCTCGCATCATGTTTTCCAGGGTTTTACGTATAATGTCTATTGACTTGGGTCGCGAATGTTTGTGACCTTTAAAATATGAGTCCCCAGAAAAAAAGCTTGGGAAACGCTGATTTGAAGTAAAAGAAAGACAGTCAATAATAAAGCCAGACACTAGAAAAGAAGACAGTGAAAAGTACATTTAAAATATAGGTAAATATTATCAAGAAAATAGTGACAAATTCTGGCAGCTCCCTTCAGGGGGCACCACAGCAAATAACCTGCCAGAAATCAAGGCAATGCAAAGCGTAGATCTTCGGGCAACAAACAGTTAACAAAAAAACAAAAACTTGGTCTGAAAACCAATCAGTGCAGCAGCCAACCCAAACAGTAAACAGATGTTATCTTTAAAGACGTCCTTGTCATTTCAGTCTGTTTTTATTTGTCTCCTCTCTTTATTCCCCC